CCATCAAATCCTGCTTTGAAGCCATTCCCTGTGTGCTGTCCCTCCATCCTTGTCCCCAGTCCCTCTCCAGCTCTCCTGGAGCCCCTTCAGGCCCTGCCAGGGGCTCTGAGCTCTCCCTGGATCCTTGTCCTGTTGAACATTCCCAGCTCCAGAGCAGAGAGAGAAGATCCCAAACGTTCTCCTGGAGAATTAAAACTCCCTGGGATGAATCCAGTGGTGCAGAGAATTGATTGAATAGAAGCAAAGAAGGGCCTGGAGAGCATCTCCTGGGCCCTGCCCCAGCCACTCCTGCACTAACAGAGCCAAAATCCATCTGAAATTCTGTGTCTGGAAAACATCCAGGGCTGCTCTGATCCTTAGGAACCATCTCCTCATTTCCAGCCCCAATTCATTGACATTTTAGAGGAGAACAGATTGCTCTGGAGCCAGCCCCAAATGGTTCTGCTGAGCCTCTCTGCCGTGGCTCATGACTGGAATGATCTTTCCTCTCCTCCTTTCTTCTGGAAAACTGAGCTGATCTGGCTCCTCCTTTAAAGCAAGGCCTCCATTCCTCTGTGGATCCCAGCTGTGCTGTCCCCAAATTGTTCTGCCTCGGGGATAAAGGAGATTCCCCAATGCCACAGCTGGAATTCCTAAGGCTGCTCCCATTCCTGGGCTGCTGCTGCTGCTGCTGGGTCACAGCTGATAAAGCAAAAGTTTGGCACAGATGATCTGTGACAGCCACTCAATTTTATCCCTGTCCAAATCAGCCTTTGGGGAGGATCCAAATGGAATGACAGAATTCCCAAATCCAATGGAAGATGTGGATCCTGCTGTAAGGAGGATGAAATGATTGAGTGAAAAAGGATGTGGAGGGACAGAGCCAAAAAAAAAAAAAAAGGATAATATATGAATATATAATTCTATAATAACTGCAGTTATTTAGTTCATTATGCACATTTTAGAGGATCATGGAATGGTTTTCAGATCCAGGGTAGGGACATTTCCACTGTCCCAGGCTGCTCCAAGCCCTGTCCAAGCTGGCCTTGGATACTTCCAGAGATCCAGGGGCAGCCACAGAAATCATCTTTAAAGTCCCTTCCAACCCAAATCATTCTTTAATTCTATAAAACAAGAGCTTTTTATCTATATTTGTGAAAAAGCAGGGATTTTTCCTCAGGGTGGGTTTCCATGGGCCAGGATTCCAAAGGAATTGTTCTGTGTGTGCAAACCCAGCATTTGTGGTGTCACAAATGGGCACCAGGATGAATCAGCAGCTGATGGCACCTCAAAAGTGCTCCTTAAAAAGGAAAAACTGTGGAAGCTACTGATGGAATTCTACATCAATGTTATCTGCTGAGCAATAATTGCAAATCACATCCTGCACTCTCAGGAAAAAGACATTTCTCTCTATGAAATTCCATTTTTTTTAATTTTTTTTTTTTTTTGATGGAGCCCTGCCAGCTCCACAGATTTGGTTGCCAAAAGATTTTTGGGAAAGCATCCCCACTTTCCACAGATTTCCTGTGGAAGCTCCAGCTCCACACCATGGGTTGCCTTCAGCTCCTTCTTTTTCCCACACAGGAATTTTTGGTGATTGCTGCCAGGGAAGGGAGTGGGAAGGAGGAAGAGCTTTTCCTCCTCCTCCTCCTCCTCCTCACCCAGAGCAGGATCCTGGTGGAAATTCCCACTCCAGGAGATGGAGGAGGATCCATTAAGGAGGATTTTCCCTGATCAGGATGGACAGGACCCAAATTGTGGTGGGGAAAACCCTCTGGGGGTGCAGAGAACATCCAGAAGTTCTGGATCCAGCCCCATCCAGGGCAGGGAAGAGCTGAGAGGAAAAAATGCCAAGTTCAGGCAGCACTGGATGGAATTTCCAGAGAGTGTTTTTTTTTGAGATGGAGAGGTTTTAAATCCAGTGGGAAGGGAATGATCAGCTGGGAAAACACAGGGAGACACCAGAATGTCCAAAGGGAATGGGAATAAATCAGTTTTTAACCTATGGCACAATGGGAAGAGCTGGGAATTCCCTGATCCTGGGAGGCTCTGGAT